ATACGATATAACTGAAAATTCAAATTCACATTCTCATTGGCGAGAGTTAAAGAACCCAGTAAAGTCTACTAAAAGCATGTTTATCCATGCAATAAAATGAAAATATTTAAAATACATTCATGAAATAAGTTATTTTGTTTTTACTTTGTAGAAAATAATTTTTAGATTTTGACACCAAACCAGATTAACGCAAAATTCAATATTAAGGAATAGTAAAAAATCCATTAAAAAGAATTGAAAACCAAAAAATAGACGCAGTTATCTTCAATTATAATTTAGAACAAGAAAAAATATTCCAATATTTAACAAATCCAAATGGGTATGCTTTACAGTCAATCAACTTATAAGTTAGGACCCAATATTGCTTTTTCCATTGGTGCCGAAAGCAAAGTCTGCTTTTCTCAAGAATTGCTTCTCTCCCACCCTCAACTCATCAACATTTTTCTACAAATACAACTAAGACAATTGCTTCATTTGTATTCTCTTATCATACAAAACCATCCCATGATCAGAAATTCCATGAGCTTGAAAAAGAAGCTCAAGCCTGCTCAGATAGCATGGAGAAGCTTCACAACCAAACTTCAATCAACTCTCCACGTTCCCACCACCATCAAATCCAAAACCCATCGCCTCCTCAAGTTTTTTTCTCATCATCTCTTTATCCCCTTCAAGAAACGATTTCTCATTGCCAAAGCTTCCATCCATGGCCGCCGCCACCGTGGCTACCCCAACCAACACCGCTATTATAAACATACTGATCAGAATAAGTTGGCGGCGATATACATAGACCAGCTGTATGCAGAAACAGAAACAAGCAGATCAGGTAAGGCGGAGGTTGACGATGGTGATGAGAACAAGAGTGTCCATAATAGCATCGAAGATGCATGGAACGCCATTGTTGCTTCGTCTCCGCATCTAAGGGGAGTGGATGAGAGAGCGGAAGAGTTCATCTTCAAGTTTCGGGAGGATATGAGGCTTCAGAAGGAAAGATCATATCTTGAGTTCCAAGAAATGTTGGCCAGGAGTGCATGATATCATTCTTTTTTTTTTCTTTATGAATTTTCATATATACATAAATATATATATATATATATATGTATTCTTTTCTTTTCTTGTTTGTGGAGATTTTTATCTTACAGGTGCGTATTGGGTAATCTGAGATGGGAAAAACTAGTACTGTGTGAATCTGAATAGGCTGGGATTTCATATGCACGAGAAATGTTTGATTTTTTTTTTTTAATTTATTGGGAATTCAAAGGTGAAAGGTTTCTTTCTTGAGTTCCAAACTGTGGGGTTTCAGTAAACAAAAAAAAAAAAAATGTTTTGGGTGTGTACAGATCAAAAGTTGTCAAACATGTGAGAAAAAAATTGGAAAAAGCATTTGGTTGGTCCACTCCTTTACATTTGACGTTTAAAATGTTTTATTTTTTCATTTTAATTATTTATTTAAAAAATTATGATTTATTCTTCGTTAGAAAAATTGGACTTATATGATTGAAAATTCCAAGTAATTTTCTAGCAGAAAGTTTATACTCACAAAAAAAGTAATAATTAAAATTTTAATTAGATTAAAAAACGATGAAATTAAAATTGACATATTGTAATCAATCAGATTAATAATTTTCACGTGCCACAATTCTATTTTAACTGTTGAATTATAATTGTCTAATTATGAATTCTAGAAACTACTTAACTAAACAAACTTTATTTTAGTCAAAATGGTTATAGTTAAAAAATGCAGATAAAATCCTGAATGAACTAAAGTAATACGTGCTGGCCCAATTACCCGTGACAATAGCGCAATGTTACAATTACATGAATATGAAAATTACCTCATTCAAGTCCATACTGTTAAAAATCTATTAACTCTATTTTAAATTTTTACTTAAAAATAAATTTAAATATTAAAAATTTTACTAATCAGTATATCAATTAAGTTTATACCTGACTCATACTTAAAAAAAACCGTTGTTGTGCTTCTCCATATATGCACTAATCACAATGTACTTATAAATAAAAACACAAAAAATATTATTTAATTTAAACCCACAATCTTTTATATATTAAAAAAAATATTTAAAAAAATACTTACTAATAATTTAACTAACAGAGATTAATTTTAATTCCGATAAACTAAACCTTTCTTATATAATAAGAAAATTTTCAAAAGAAATATATTAACTTCTGATAGAAATTTTGGGTAACTATCATTAACTCTGGGACTACTTTGTTTTTTTTTTTTTTTTACTTACAGAAATTGGTCAAGAGGGACTACTGCCCAGAGCCAGATCTCTCGTACTTGTTTTACATACTATACAGAGTACAAAACACATCATATTCTAAAAGCAAAAATAAAGATGCCAATTAGGCAGTTTCAGCATGCCACCGCGTTCCCAAACACAGCATGATCAGCATTAGTTCAGAAAGTCCTTCATGGGGTCATCGTGATGTATCTTTTTCATCCTATAAGCCTCCATCTCCTCAGCAGTAACCTAAATATGGCATCACATCCAGTTATAGAAGGATAGAACATAAAGTCAAGTTTCCTAGATTATGGCTACATCCAAATTCCAGATTTCTTTATGTAACAATGTACTATACCTCATCATTCCACCTAACATTATATTTGCGCTTCCTTTCATCCTTCTCTTCTCTCCTTTTCTCATCTTCCTGTCAACATAAAATATTGAGTGATGTAGCACGTCATATGTCACTTCCACCAATTTCAACTATAGAAAAACTAATGTAGTGTTTTCAATATTAGATCACAAAAAACAGTAGAGGAAATTTTCAGTTTCAAAATTTACCTTCTTAAGTGCCTCCGCAAGTTTTTTCTGGTCAAGAACCAAGTCATCCGGCACCTCAGTTCCCCAGGTAGCAAGCCTTTTCTCCTCCACGGGAGCAGGTGCCTCTGAAATCATGTCAGCATCCAATCAGATTGGAGATACAAGCATGTGACAGAAACATGGAAAAACAAAATCATTTAACTCCTTTGCAATTAAGTTCAAAAGGAAAGGCAATTCAATCGTGGCAGAATGATTCCCAATTTCCTTTTCATGATAGATTAGTTAAATTAAGAAAAAAGAAAACAGAAATAGCATTTCAATATATTTTTATTGACCAATTAGAATTGCCTCCCAGAATCTATAATTGTCTCAAAGTCCAATATACATACATTATTGGACCTTTTAAATAACAGTCACGAAGACCTTATGAAAATTGAACATTTTTGCACAGAAGATGTAAAACAGATATTAAGCATTCTAGAAACTTCCAATGAAACCAAGTCAATGGATAAAAAAAACACAGGACATGAGCCCAGTGTACAAATATTGTTTTAGAATAAGAAGGATTTATTAAGATATAAGGGAAGAAAAGTTATCCTCCAGATGTAACAGACTATAGTGAGCCAACAAAATTACAAAATAGATAAGATACATAAAGAAGAAACAAGGAGCATGCACATTGACCATAATGAACAGAGTACATACAAGTTCAAAAATGCAAGCAAGTAGAGAAGAAATTACCTTCAGAAGCTGCCTTGCGTGCAACATTGGCCTTCATTAGGTCTGTTGCTGCTTCAGCCGCTTCTATTCCTGCAACACCAGTGCAGTAACTATTCCGAATTGTTTGCTTACAACATTTGTAGCCCCACTGGTGATCCTTCCACCACGAACCCCAAACGGTAGTGTGGTTATTGATGTAAACATCTTCTTCATACTTGCTTTTCGGTAGAGATGTTTCCTTCACAAAAGAAACATGAAGGTAACTATAAGTCAAAGTTTAGGTTGAAATATAATACAACTATGATCAGTAAAATCCAACGAATAACACAACTAAACAAGCACATTGAAGCATATAATAGCTTCAGAAAATGTTCAAAATCTTAAAGAAGAAAGAATTGAGTACAGAGATTAATAGGACAAACAGGAGTAATTGAGGAAAGAAAAAAGAACAAAAATTGCATTAGATAAAAAGAAATACAAGGAATTTTACACAGTACCAGGCCTTTTATAACTCTTCCAGCTCGATCATACTCCACCAGCCTCTCGCTTTGCCCTAGTAGAAGCTCCCTTGGCATCTCTTCTTCAGTTGCTGCATTACCATACTTCTCCATGATTGTGTCTTTCACCCGCGACTTTAACTTCTCCTTAATCACCTTATAATTCTTGAACAATAATTCAGCTTGAGATGGGGCAGCCTGCATGTGGATGTCTTGGCCCTTGTCAAATGCCTCCCATGCATGAATATTGAGTTGCTTGAACTCCAATGCTTGCCCACTCATTCTATATTGATTATCTCCCTGTATACAGAAATTAAAAAACACAAACCACAAATCAGGCACAAGTCATTTAATTATCATAATAATATATAAAGCATTTAAACCAGTGTTAACAATTTCTCAAGGCACTCACTTCATAGAATTTCTCGTGAGGATCAGCATCAGGCAGAGGATCTTCACGCATAGACCGCGTCTTTGGATCATAATAAGCAGAATTGACATCAAGATTCAGAAGATATTTTGCTGTGTCCTCTCGAATACGCAAATTCCTGTACATTTAGAAAAGGAAACTAAATTAGATCATAGTTTTTGAAAAATAATACACTACGAACAACGATATATCACATTATCGAGGAAAGCTATAAGAGAATTTATTTGCAGTAAAAACAAGAAAAAATTGAAGAACTCCCTCCTACCTGACAGTTCCAGTGCTTCCACCACCTGTAGTGCGGACACGCTTCTCAACCTTTGCGAAGTCCATCTGCTTGCTCTCATCAACCTTAGCTTCATCAACCTTCAGAGCATCATCATCATCTTCTTCATCACTAACCTCATCCTCCCCATTGTGCTTACTATTCTTCTCCTCCAATTTTTTCAGTTGTTGTTCTTTTACGTATTTCCTTCTAGCTTCATCCCGTGCCTCATATCTCTCTATGACGCGAGCATATGTTGCAGCATCATAACCATTCCATCGATCTCTTTTACCATCATAATCTAGTTCAAAAGTCTCTATTTTTTCATCAGGAGCAATATTCATGTTCGTCCATTTTGCACCTTTCTTTCTAGGCCTCTCCATGCAAGACTTTGAATCATGTGTCATTGCTCCACAGCTGTAACAAGGAAATCAAAAGTCAATCCAGCTATACTCGACTTACATTTTGCATACTACAAGATAACAGCAAAGATACTGTAATAAACAGAAATACAAGAAAATTACAAAGTTATGCTAAAAAATACTTTAACACTGAATCCTACACTCAATATTTTAGTCTCAATATCACAAGGAAAAAAGTAGTAGGGAACATGTCCAATATTCCTTCACATATAAACAGTGAATAGATAGATACCCAAAAAAACACAAAAAACAGCTTTCTAAGAATTTTTCTAATCACCGAGCATTCTTATTCTGTAAGGAGTTCAATTTCCAAAGCGCTTTTTAAACATCCCAATGGAGCATACAAGCAGGCCATGGATTGTAAATAGAATAACACTGCTGCCATAATCATCAACAACTTATCAATTAAAACCAGTAAGAGTCAAGTTGCTTAAGCAATAAATACAGCAGCCGATGCAATCCATGTAGACGGAAAGACTCAGTGGTACACAAACAAAGTAAAGGGAAGAATAATACTATAAGAGGTTTGCACTCCACTTACTTTTCACATGCTCCCTTCCGGAACTTATCTGCTTGAAATATTTTAGCACCTCTATCGTACCATGACTTTGTGTAATTTGGATCAGATTTCCATTTCCTTTGATGTTTTAAGCTCTAAACAATGAGAGAAATTGTAATAAGCAATCAGCAATCAGCATTGACAACTTAAAATAAAATAAAAATGCCTGACTGCAGAAAGCAAAAACAGAAAATGATTTAACTATTAAAAGCTTGAAGCTTACAGGTCTCTCAGCATTAAGGTACCATGGCGCAGATGACATATACTGAGGAATATGGGGGTTAATTTCCTTTCCATCCTCATCTACTTCAGCTGGAGCAAGCCCTGCTTTACGTGCCTCCTCTAACTCTAACTGCTTCCTATGATCCTCCCGCGACTTGAATGCCACTGAAAATCCAAATGAAGCAAAATGTATTAAGTATCACAGAAATCAGAACTTGGTCCAAATATTATAAACCGTACATCACTTATCTCTAAATATCCATTGATGTCTACAGAAATCATATACTAATCTCCTTTCATAATTGACCTTATTCAGATAAAAAAAATTAGATAACACAGTTCAGAAGACTTAAACTATTGAGTCATCATAATGGTTTCACCTTTTCAAACAAAGCTCTTTTATCCTTGCAAATCAGAATTACTTCACCCCAATTGCATATATTCCCACCCACAGCTTCAGAATCAAACCCATCAAAAAAGACCTTATCTATCACTCAATTATTCAATCATTGCCCAAATAATTCTTTTAACTACTCATGTAATAATAAGGTGAAAACATTTTCTTCTGTTTCCAGTTGGGGTTCATATCTCGCCAATTGTTGCATCAGCAACACCTTGGATCAATACTGCAAATGGGCTTAACTGCAACAATCATAAATAAATTCCAAAGGGAAAAATAGCCTCCTTTTCAAAGCAATCTCTTACTTGATAAGAACTTTAGAAAAAAGCGTAAACTGGCCACCAGAGCCAAGGGGGCGCTAGCGATGTACAAAAAAAATTGCAGAAAAAACAAAAATAAATAAAGGACAAACTTAACTCAAAATCCAAATCACTTTATGTAAACAAAACTGCCGCGAAACGACGCCTTATGTAATCTAAATCACTTTGTCAGTTCAGAAAAACGCAAGATTGATTCATCTAGTACCCTGTCCACCCGCTCTATCACCTACCATAACCTAATAGCTTTTCTTGGAAACTTCTATTCATCAGAAATATCAGGAGAAGCGCTATCTAGAAGCTCAGGAAATCGAATCTAAAAGAGAAACGTACCTGATGCAGTAGCCATGTTCGATAACACAGATAAGAAACCTCAACTATCAAACTCTGAAGTAGAATCGATTCAACAACACAGGCTCAATTAGCAACTCGGTATTTGCTTTTGCGGAGATTATCGCAAAAAGGAACCCTAACCCCAGCGCAGAGAGAGAGAGAGAGTGAAAAGTACGCTTTGATCTACCCTTTATCGGTTTTCGATGGGGAAAATTTGCGGTGATCGCACTTAAACCGACACATCGTCGTAGACCGACAGACCGGGTAATGTCGAATCAGGCTTGTTTTATGTGATCCTGGCAAGTCCATAAATAGTGGATCGGCAAATTGATGGGCCACCGTGGCCCAATGGGCTCTATCAATATTTCGTACTGAAACTTGATTAATGAAGCCGATATAATTTTTATGAATTTAATTAATTTAGTCCAATAATTAGTGGAAAAATAAACTTTCGGTTGAAATATTTAATATTTTAATGTTTTATTTTCTAAATAAATTAATATTTAGAATTTTCTCATATATTGATTTTTTTTTTAATATTGCAAAAGACTTGAAACTTTCTATTTCTTAAATAACATTAAAAAAAGAAATCAAGAATCATACAAGTTAATTTAATTTTATAAAAGAATTTAGTCTTATATTAAACATTGATGTAACCATATAATTTGTTTTTATCTTTTTAATACTAAGATTGTAGCGCCCGAGAAATTGAAGAAGGAAAAAAAAAAAAAGGGCCACGTCAGCAGCCACGTCAGCAGACCCAGTTAGCAGTCCCGGTCAACCAGGACCTGCCACGTGGCAAAACCACGTCGACCGGGGACGGGCTAAGTTGGTGATCCGCGTACGCGCGATCGGACGGCCCAGATCAAGCATGCGTACGGACGGTCCAGATTAAAACAAAATGGACGGCTGAGATCAAAAGGCAAAAGGGTATAAATAGAACCCCCACACCAGACCACAAAAAACCCTAGCCGCCTGCCCTCGCCGGAGAAGACGAACCAGACGCCGGAGACGCCGGCCGCCGCCACTCGCCGCCGCACTGGGGAGATTTCTGACCGCTGATCGAGGTAAATTTCATACTCCCGACTCGTTTTTCCACGCTGATTTCCCCTGTGGCCAAATGGA